TGCAAAAGATGCACTGTTTGCTTTTGCATTCTCTTTCTGAAACATGAAAGTCTTCCCATGAAAATGCCATCATCTAGATGGGAGCATATATTCCTGTAAAACCTGTAGAAGAACGGATCCTCCCACCAAGCACTGATGATGCTTTTCCACATGTGCAAGCTGCCAGTTCCAATAGCATTAATGTGGTGCGCCTGACATCAGAGAAGCAGGCTTTTGAACGGAGTGCTACTAACATGTTTCCTTTCCTCTTTATTAGAATTTCAATTCATATGACCACAGAACAGTTTTTTCCACTTTGTCTTAATCCAAATGACCTTAGCCCAGAGATGATAGTGGTGTTTCTTTATCATGTTCACATGTTGCGTCTTCTTTTCAGGATAGATCTTTAACCTGCACTTGTGAATTGCATGGTGAACTGTGTTCACAGAGTGATTTCTGGGAGTGTTCCTGGGGTCACACAGTGATTTCCATGACAGAATTATGCATGCTGTCTGTAAGCCTGAAGGTCATAGCTATCTAATATTTTTTCCCCTTATCCCATGCTTACAGAGATTTCTCCAAGATGCTTGATGATATTATATATTGTAGGTGCCGAAATATGCTAAGTGTTTTCAATCCTACATTTTGGAGCATTGTTCTGAAATTGTTCCACAATTTGTAATTTTTGCATATTTTCTTTTATTCAAAGAAACTGGGCCTCTCTGAAATGTTCTTTATACCCAAATATGTTACTACCATGTTGCCCATTAATCTAATTACTGCCAAATCCAACTGTGTTTTAGTAGAGCTCACTTTTCCACTTTTCTTTCCATTATCCCAATTTTTTTTGAGATGCTGCCATCAAATCCAAATTGAACTTCTATTTCTTAGAAAATAGTCAAATCTTCAAACTTCTAAAAGTATGTTTAAAATGAACAAAGAAAAAAAATGTATATATATAAAATGTATTTCTGTTCCCTTACAGATAAATACTCAGAGAGTGCACTGGTGTGGTAGCGGTTTGCACTCCTGGAGTACTTCTTTTGCTTGTTGATTTCTAAAGCAACTAAAACCATATTAATACTGATAAGATGACCACTATACATCGATATACATGATGTCTAAAAGTGTGGTTTGCATATTTAACTTCAACCATTTGTTCTTGTCATAAGCAGTATGCCGAGGCATGATCATTATGACGTCATCATGATCTAAGGGAAGTTTAGCTGTGCTGTATGCCAATCCACAGGGAAATACACAAATAGGAATGTCATTCTTTGTCCTCCCAGGTAACACTGGTTCACCCCAGTGAGGCAATCACAGTGCTGCGCAGTCTGACCAGAAAACACCCTGACAGGATTTACTTCAAGAGCTTCTTCCGCTCAGGCTACATCAATGAAACTACTGTCTGTAACGTATGTTTGCGTCCAACCCAGCAGCCTGTGTGCAACTACACTGACCTCAGTACAGGCGAGCCGTGGTTCTGCTACAAGCCAAAGAATCTGAGTTGTGATACCAGGATCAATCACTCCAAAGGAAGGCTTAAAAAAAACCTCATGACCACAGAGACCCTTTTTCAAAGGTGTGTATATGCCACATTATCTGTGTGACCTAAATGGGGAATTTCTAAAGTCGAGGCAAAAAGTGGGTTTTGAGGCTTTTCTTCCAAAAAGCTAATTATTTACACTCTGATATGAAGAAAACTTCGTCTGTACTTGTGTTAATGGTAAATGGGCAAAAAAAAGGGTATTTTTGTTTTGTTCTCTGCAATCTAAATCATTTTGTTGCGTGTGCTTTGCCTCAGTGATGTCAACATGAAAGTCTCCATTCCAGCTTCAGGACCTTCCTGTGTCACTGTTTTGCCAAAAACTAAAGGTAAATTACAAGTTTTCCAATTTTTTACATTTTTTTTAGTAGTATGGAGTAAGCTAAAAGTTTTTGGATGCGATGTTAGTGTTCATGTGGAGAGATAATCCCTAAGAAGTTTTTTTCAGTGCTCCTTCAGAAGCTTGACTGCTACACATGGATCACTCCCTGGAAGCCATGTTCTGTGCCCTTGCAGTGCTGGGTCTTCGTAACTGTGTCAAAACACAACTTGTCTTGATCTCACAATTTTCTTTGCACTGTGTGTGGGCCCACAGTTGTGTGCTGATACATACTACATGTTCAGTTTCCAGTGGATATACTCAGACTTCCCAAAATGTTACAGTACAGCTGTCCTTCAGGAATTCACCTGCACAAACCTGTAAATGTCAAACAGTGACTACAGTTCCAGTTGATCTCCCACTGGATGTGCTCTCTGCACAAATTTAAGGTCCATAAGTAAATGTAAGTGATTATAACAGGACCTTCCAGATGCAATTTAAAAGTAGCTGCAACAGAAGAGTGTCATAAATGAACCATGAGCAAGAGATAAGGTTTTTGGTTTTTCTGACTAGTTTCCAAAATGTTTTGATCACAACACAAGCTGCACTTAGCAGATAAAATGCTGAATGAAGTGCACCCTCTCTCTTTAATCTTCAGTTTGAGGCAAGTTTTCAACATCCACATATGTGGTGAGTTGTAAGGTTTACAATCAAGACAGATTATGATATGTTCAAAGCTGCCATGATTTCATGTAGATGGCCACAGGGTTAAACTGTTCCAAAACTAATATAGTGGTGTGAAGTCTTGCATCTGTAGTATGATGGTAGAGTGGCTTTTTTTCTCTGGAATTTGCTTAGCTTACGCATGATTGCCACAGTAAGATTAGACTTATCAGCTGGTTAAAAATATACTATTATTTATTTTTTAACGTCTTCTCAGGTTGGTCCATGGTGAGTAGGCGCACTGTGAAGTCTAGACCCTCTGGGTATTATTTCCACGGTGTGTGGCGAGCATTACGTGGCCACAGAGTTCCTCACTTCAACACTTCCTCAGCTATCACTCAGTGTCTGAAAGGAAAGGTGGTTCATATATACGGAGACTCCACCGTCAGGCAGTGGTTTGAATACTTTAACGCAACACTACCAGGTAGCTGCTCCACAAACCTCTCTGGCAACAATTTGATTTTTTTCACAGTGAAACTTAAATCATTCTCTCTGTATTATTTTCAGATCTTAAGGAGTTTAACCTGCATAGCCAGAAAAAAATTGGACCTTATATGGCTCTAGACTATGTGAACAACATCTTGGTGACATACCGCTGCCATGGTCCTCCTATCAGGTTTTCCAAAGTCCCAATCAGCGAGTTGCGCTATATTGCCAACGAATTAGACAGCTTGACTGGAGGCAGCGATACCGTCGTAGTTCTTGGCATTTGGTCGCACTTCAGCACTTTCCCCGTTGAGGTCTACATCCGGCGTTTGCAGAGCATCCGCAGGGCGGTGGTGCGGCTGCTGTCCAGGGCTCCAGATACACTGGTTGTCATTCGGACTGCAAACCCAAAAAATCTGACGCTCTATGAGACAATCACTAACAGCGACTGGTACTCGCTGCAGCGTGACAAGGTGCTCAGGGCCATGTTCAAAGGACTGAATGTCCATCTGGTGGATGCTTGGGAGATGGTCGTGGCCCACAACCTGCCACATGAACTCCACCCACAGCCTCCAATTATTGAAAACATGATTAATGTTCTCTTGTCCTACATATGCCCTAAAAAAGGTGGCTAGATGTGATTGTTTTTCAGCAGCCCATGCACACACACATTTATTCCTTGCTTATTTATAACAGAGATAAATAGTAATGAATAATTAAACTGAGCCTTTGGATTCTCATGCAACAATCCAGGAAATACTGGAACTCCTTATCTGACACACAAGCAGGATTTACATAAGGGAATATTGCCTCATACAGGCTCATTCCAATGAACCAATCTATGACACACTATGAATGTTTTATTGACAGTAGGTTGTAATTCAAAGTCACTTATTGAGTAGTTTACTCATTACCACAAAAGAAGTAAGCTTCACTATGCTGCCTTGCTTCCAAAGAAAATGTGTTTCGCCACAGTCATCTTTTCAGTGCAACTCTTATTGTGTTTTCTGCAGCAAATCAAATAACACAAAAAGGCAAAATAAAAACGTAAAAAGGGGTAACATTGAGCAAAGTTAGAAATAATTCAAATGTTTGCCATAGATATATATTCAGGTGGACATAAAAATACCGAAATTAATGCTACTAAGAAGGGACATAAGATGGGATATAACATCTCGAAATAGTCACTGATTGTTAATTTAATAATGCTAAACATTACTTTATAAAATATGTAAACCCTGTAAAATGACGTCAGATTTTACACAACACTGCCAGTGAATTTGCATCTATTTCTAGAGTACTGTTGGGAGCATTAATCTGACTGACTTCTCAGGTATTACCTCTAGAGTTAAGTGTTTACTGAAAATATCACAAGACACGTGAATGTATTTTCTGGATTCATGAAAGGACAAAAACAAGAAAAATGTTCTCCAGCTGAATGAAAAGAAAAAGGAAGTCCTTGTCTTTGCCCGTGACAGATTAAGTTAATGACAACTTAGGTTCTCTTGCCACATTTGCTAAATCTTCTATCAGGAACCTTGGTGTAACGTTTGACTCTGTCTTCACTGTCAATGCTTACTTTAAATCTCTGGTTCGTTCTTATTTCTGTTACTTGGATCACCAGGTTGAGTTCTACTGTGTCAGGCTTTGGATTGATATTTGTTATTTATGCCTTTATTTTATCACATCTGGATTACTGTAAATTCATTGTTTACTGGTTTTAATAAAGCATCCTTGGAATGCCTGCAGGTTGTTCAGAACGCTACCCACATACATTAATCCAGGTGCACTGACTGAATTATGCTAAGGACAATTTGGAGAAAAATTATTTATACCAAAAGCATGACCTGTGGTCAGATGAGACTAAACTAGGTCTATTTGGGTAAAGAGATACTGCTCATGTTTGAAGAATGAATCCATCCACAACCCAAAGAATACCGTCCCCAAAGTAAATATGAAAAAAAGATATGAGAAGATTTTGAAAGTAGTCAGCAGCAAAACTTGGGTTCTCGTGTTCTCTTTCAACACGACAATCTCCAAAAATATACGTTGGCATTCTGGTCTGCACATAGCCCTGACTTGAATCCCATTCTCAGGGGTGAAGACCAAGAACCATGCCAGAAGATGGTCAAATCTGGAGAAGTTTAAGAGATTTGCCAAAGAAGAATGGTCTAGGACTGCTCAGGTGGTGCATGTGAGACTTGTTGAAAAAGACAACAAAGGACTGCTGGCTGTTATCCAGCAAAAAGGATTTTCAACATAATTACTGGCAACAGAGGGGCTAATAATGTTGACTCTGGCATATTTTAGTTCTTGTAAAATTATTTTTAATACATAAAAAGAGAGGGTAAGCAGTGCTTTAACAGGAAGAGACCTCGGGTAGAACTTGATTATCTGGAAGGCATGTTTTTCAGTTTAGTACAGAAATGACTAAGCATTAACAATACACTGATTTTCATGCTTTTAGCATTGTATTTTACATATCTCCTTCACAGTTACTTTTCTTAAAAGCTTTGTTGAAAGTTTTTTGCAGAATGAAAATCAGCACTTGATAATTTGAGGAGGTTCCTTTCACACCGACTTGATCATCATTCTTGTGGCCTTGGCTGAGTATGGTGCAGGTGGTTTCCAGGTGCGCCAGTGGAGGCCCGAAGCCCAACCTATGTGTTCACCGTAGGAATGCCAGTCACCGTTTAGATTGGCGGACCCACACTTGCTGTACCACCACCCGCCGCCCTCTGTAACGGTACATGCTCCAACAGCAATGTCACCAAAGATGCAGGGGGAGCAGCCATCATTATCGCGGTCAACTGTGCTAAAGCCATAGCCATTCTGATCAATGCCTTTATAGGCACCACGGATGGCATCACCTTTGGATAGAGTGGGAAACAAATCAAGAAAAATGAATTTTTAAAATTCACAGGGTTTCTTTAAAGTACAAAAAAAGAACAATATCTAACACCTGATTGCATTAACAAACAGTGAGTAACATTTATGTGTATATAAAAAGCAAAAGAAATATGGCGACAGTAAAAACTTCAACAGGCTTCAGGCTTCAGTACCTGCATTTCCACGGTACTTCCCAACATGTAGTTTGAACGCAGTTTTCTCATTTCCCAGTCTAAAGTTTTTGTACTCAGCGAAAGCAGTCCCATCTTCATGATCCCACAGATCCACCCTCATTGTCCACTTCTTGGACTTGTCTTTGGTAAGATAAAAAATCTTATTCAGCCCGAGCCAGTGGTCCTCTGAAAATCAAAGCACAAAGAAATAAATGGTAAATGGCCTGTATTTGTATAGTGCTTTATTTAGTCCCTAAGGACCCCAAAGCGCTTTATACTACATTACACTACAAAGAAAAGATTTAATATTTTTATGTTAGATCCATTCTTGATCTCTAGGATTATATATCACTACATCATAATAATAATCATTGTAATTTATTTACGTGTCAGGTTTCCAAAGCCAGTTTTATATGCTGCCCATTTTCTGTGGAAAGAAACGGCTCCTCCGCTTCGTTTTTGAAACACCGTCCAGCCTCCATCTGGATGCATCTCACAGTAAACCTGAGTAAGAAGTTCATTCACCACATATTAAGAAATTCAGCTGGCATTTACTTCTACTTTTTATCTAAGGAGCAAGAAACATTTTAGAATATGGCCTACAAGTAGTGGAGTAATTCACCTGTAATAAATGGAAATTGAATATTTTATTTGAAATTACAATCTAATCATACTAACCTATGAATACTTAAAAGTAGGTACACTACAATAACTCGGGTTTTTACAGGAAACAAAGAAATTATTATATTGTATGTTAAGTACAGTGTAAGTAATTTTAGCTTGTGTAAAATGTCATGGTAATTTTGCAGAAAAATAAATATTTATGTATCTTACATCCATTTAGATAAGGGGAAATTACACCCTTGGTCGGGGCTATATTATCGAGTATATAACCAGAAGCTCAGTGTGCTTTTTGTCTAACATTATTGTTAACTTAATAGTTATGAATATAAAGTAAACTGTATCCTGTTATCTATAACCAAATGAAACCTTGTTCTGGTGAAATCATTTGATAGATAAATTGCAGTTATAGTTTACAGTGCTGCTTCTGTTTGCTGTGATCTTATAAACATGACTTTGTTATTATTTCTTGGCTCGATCGATACCTTAAACTTGGTCGCGGCTCCATTTGGCTGGATCGTATAAACGCCACTGGATGCTCGTGGTGACAGAGTCTTAATCTGTGTGCAGTCTGTTCCTGAGGCGTACACCATAACAGAAAGAAACACAATAAGAAGCAGAAGAATAAGACTGAAATAGTATACTTATCTGAGTAATAACAAACAAGATGATCCATACCTTGAGGAGAACCTGCTTTGTCCTGTCTCTAGCAATACAAAGAAACAGTTTTAAAGTGAGTCTTAACCTCGTTTAAATATCCATCTTAAATACTGACAATACAGAAGCAGGACAGACCAAGTAGGGAAAGAATTTTAAAGCTCTTACTTTTACCCCGGCCTGTTCTGTGCAGCTCGAAAGAAATGCCAGGATGAGTCCACAATACACAACCAGACTCTTCATTTTGACCTGTGTTTAAAACAGACCAGACTGTAAACAGTGTTTAGTCCGATGAAAATTGCTGGTAACTCTGCTCTCAGAAGATGACTGGCTGCTCAGAGTAACTCTGTCCTGTTCATTACTGCAGCAGTAATAGTCAACAGTTTTTTCTCCAAACACATACTTGCGTGTTAGGTGAACCTTAAACCCCGTCTCAAGATTAACAACAGCAGCAGTCCCTTTATCCAATAGCTTAACTACCACACCCCCTTCACTGCTATGACAAGCGCGTCACTTCCTACCTTAGGTCAGTGTGAGTGTGACAACTCAAATCTGAACAACTGATGCAGTCATCCAACATGAACTGCACTGTTCTCTGAAAGAGCTTGTTTACCTAATGTTACACAACTTTCACAATGCTAATTTCTCAGACCTCTCTGGCTACACCTCTCTCTAACATTCCAACTGAGTAGTTCTATTTGCACAGCAATAAAGTCAATGTTTGTGGAAGCCAGTTACAGACATTATCTTTTTATTGACTCGGATAGCAAGGGATGTTTACAATTGCTCCTTTGGCGTCTGTAGTTAGAAAAATTACATGTTTCCCTTAAATCTAAATTTCTCTTCAGATATTGTTATTCCCCAGAGACTCTGCTCAGTCATTTCTTCTTATTCTTGAAGATGATAAATTTGATGTAGATATGAAACTGAAAGAATAAATTCTAACTACTTTTAAGCAATTGCCTAACTTTTTATTTAATGGCTCCACCAGATGAAATGTTTTAACCATTTAAGCATGGCACCAAATTTTCCAGTTATTTATGGTTTGTAGTAGTTTCAGTGATCGCCAGGTGTCCCATGAGACGTGTCGTTTTAAGTAAAATGTTTTTGCAACTTTTAACTTCAACTTTTTACTATGAAACACAGAGGTGCCACAGTTCTCAAACCAAACTCTGGAAGTTGATCAAAAAACGATTTATGTCTTATTTTTCCAAATGTTTACAGTAACTTTGGATAAAGCACTTGTGAGATGCTCCACATTTCCCTTGTGTATCTGCGATAATGTCTATATGTACTCTAGCAGGATGATCTTTGTGGTTGTTATGCTACAATCACAGTAGGAAAAACAGTGGTTGGAGAATGCAACACAACCAAAATTACTGTGTATGGTGCGCAATGAACTTGGTTGTTTCGAGTGATTGTTTCGACGACGGGGCCAGCATGACGCACAGGGTGACGGCTGAGGGAGTTGCATGCTTAATCTCTGGGTGACCTTGGTTAGAGCAACTACTTCCAACTGGTTTTTGACAGCAAAGAAATTGCAATTGTTTCTAGGGAGGTTGCAATCTACTCTGGTGTGACTGAGCCATTAAATACAAAAAAGCTAGACTGTGGTGAGTAGAGCAGACAATAATAGCAATTAAGTATGTTATTGTGTGTACCCAATAGGGTAAGCATGAACATGCATGAAGATTGTCACACATACAGCGATTATCAACAGCTATACATATAATTCTTTTGATTTTCATATTTATCATCCCCCTGTGAATCCAATGTTATTTGTTTCCACAATGGAATTTCACCACTAAATAGGGAATGAAGAAATTGAAAAATTTGATGTAATTTGGTGTAACTTGGTGTACCTATTTCTACTGGTCATGTCATCGAGTCAAGTGCTGACTTGGAGTCAAAATTGGGACCAGTCATTGGTTGGGAGCAATGGGACATCTGCAAAAGGGATGTTTAGTGCAGCTATCAAGTTGAAAGCTATCAAGTTGAAAGCTAGCAGTTACAGTATTAACATTTTATAACCTGTTACCTTGGTCTTGAATATTATTAATGGAATGACCATAAAAATGACCATTTTTATGGTCTTTTTTTTTTTACCTCTTCTTTTGTGGCAAACTAGTAATGGAGTGGGCTCATTGGAGGGTGAAAGAAGGTATCTTTTGTAATTAACTGATTTAAGCCTTGTGTAACAGAGATGACTGTTAAGCTGTGAATGCTAAGTTATGAAATTTGGGCATGTGCTATGGTACTAAGGTTTATCCAATTTATTGTAAATCTATTGTGTGATATGTGTAGTGTGGTGTATTTTCCAGTTGTTTAATGATTCAAAAGCTGTATATTTTAATTATATAAAACTCTAAGTAGCCAATTATGACCAACTGTCACCAACATGATTATCACTATTGTTTTCATCAGCAGTGATTTTTGAATTATTTGCCACAATTATTCATCGGTTTTAGTGACAAAAATATTTTTAATGCACTGCCATCTACACCAAACACTGCTTTCGCATTTTCTCACCTGTACAAATCTTTACATCCAAGTAAAACTGGTCTTCCGCCTTCCTCCTGCTTTAATTCAGTGCATCTCTTATCAGAAAAATAAAAAATTGACACCAAAACTTAAAGAAATTACATCAACAGGGCATTGCCTTCACTTTTACATTGTCCTACATTCCTGCTAATTAAAATTTCTTTGCAGGAAATGTGTTTAGTATAAGTCCTTCACTACATGCATTGTAGGGGGGGGCGTGGTATGAAAAGGGGAAAAAAACCCAAAGAAAATGCTTGGACACTGCTAGCATGGGCGCCCACACAAAGGCAAAGCAGGAGATGAAGCATCGCTGAATATGTTTCCAAAACAACTTCATTCTAAGCAAAGACTAGAAAATATGGTGAAGCATATCTTCCCTTTGGCTTCACCTGCACAAGTGCCAAGATAGGTCTCCCTTGCATAATTGGTTTTCCCTTTGTTGGAAGCACGCGTTGGGCTCTTCAAATCGCGGACAAACAGTATCCCACATTCTTAATTTTTAGTTCACAAACACTTCTTTAATGACTAACTACTGACATTTTGGGGATGTTAGCTCTTTATACAGTAAGGTTACAGTGGGATACAAATAATATCAGGCTGATCCTGCCACGATTTGTTCCCTCAGTTCAAATCACGGACTAACAGTATCCTACAGTTGTTTATGTTTTTAAACCCATTTTGCACAGAGAGGCATTTTTTGACAAATGTATTGATAGCAATGTTGAATATTATTATCCATCCATCCATCCATCCATCTTCATCCGCTTTATCCGAGGCCGGGTCGTGGGGGCAGCAGCCTAAGCAGAGAGGCCCAGACCTCCCTCTCCCCAGCCACCTCCTCCAGCTTATCCGGGGGAACACCAAGGCGTTCCCAGGCCAGCCGAGAGATATAATCTGTCCAGCGTGTCCTGGGTCTGCATGCCCGGAACACCTCACCCAGGAGGCGCCCAGGAGGCATCCTTGTCAGATGCCCGAACCACCTCAGGCTGGCTCCTTTCGATGTGGAGCAGCAGCAGCTCTACTCTGAGCCCCTCCCAGATGGCCGAACTTCTCACCCTATCTCTAAGGGAGAAGCCAGCCACCCTTCGGAGGAAGCTCATTTCTGCCGCTTGTATCCGCGATCTCGTTCTTTCGGTCACTACCCACAGCTCGTGGCCATAGGTGAGGGTAGGGACGTAGATCGACCGGTAAATTGAGAGCTTCGCTTTTACACTCAGCTCCCTCTTCACCACGACGGACCGGTGCAGCGTCCGCATTGCTGAGGCTGCAGCCCCAATCCGTCTGTCGATCTCCGGCTCCCTTCTCCCATCACTCGCGAACAAGACCCCGAGATACTTGAACTCCTCCACTTGGGGCAGGAACTCATCCCCGACCCGGAGTGGGCACTCCACCCATTTCCGGCTGAGAACCATGGCCTCAGATTTGGCGGTGCTGATCCTCATTCCCGCTGCTTGACACTCTGCTGCGAACCGTTCCAGTGCGAGCTGGAGGCCCCCATCCGATGAAGCCAACAGAACCACATCATCCGCAAAAAGCAGATTCTGAGGCCACCAAAGTGAAAGCCCTCCGCCACTTGGCTGCGCCTAGAAATCCTGTCCATAAAAATCATGAACAGAACCGGAGACAAAGGGCAGCCCTGGCGGAGCCCATCACCCACCGGAAACAAGTCAGACTTATTGCCGGCAATGCGAACCAAGCTCTTGCAACGGTTGTATAGGGATCAAATGGCCCATAGCAATGGGCCAGACACCCCATACTCCCGCAACACCTCCCACAGGACAGCCCGAAGGACACGGTCGAATGCCTTCTCCAAGTCCACAAAACACATGTAGACTGGTTGGGCAAACTCCCATGCACCCTCAGGTATCCTTGAGAGGATAAAGAGCTGGTCCAGTGTTCCGCGACCAGGACGAAAACCGCATTGTTCCTCCTGTATCCGAAGTTCGACGAGTGGACGAACTCTCCTTTCCAGTACCCTGGCATAGACTTTCCCAGGGAGGTTGAGGAGTGTGATCCCCCTGTAGTTGGAACACACCCTCCGGTCTCCCTTCTTAAAGATGGGGACCACCACCCCGGTCTGCCAGTCCAGGGGTACTGCCCCTGATATCCACGCAACATTGCAGAGGCGTCCACAACGTCCTACAACGCCCAGAGCCTTCAGGAACTCGGGGCGGACCTCATCAACACCAGGGGCTCTGCCACCAAGGAGTTGTTTAACTGCCTCAGTGACCTCGCCCCCGGAAATTGGCGGGTCATTCCCCTCATCCCCAGACTCTGCTTCCTCCCCGGAAGACGTGTCAGTAGGTGCACCGGGTCTGTCCAGCGTCCTCCCCCGCCACCTGATCCAACTCATCACCAGGTGGTGATCAGTTGACAGCTCAGCCCCTCTCTTTACCCGAGTGTCCAGAACATATGGTCGCAGGTCTGGTGATACGGTTACAAAATCGATCATCGACCTGCAGCCTAGAGCGTCCTGGTGCCACGTGCACTTATGGACACTCTTATGTTCGAACAAGGTGTTCGTTATGGCCAAACTGTGATTTGCACAGAAGTCCATTAACAAAACACTGCTCGGGTTCAGCACGGTGGCACGGTGGTTAGCACTGTTGCCGCACAGCAAGAAGGTCCTGAGTTCAGTTCCAACATCAGGCCGGGGTCTTTCTGTGTGGAGTTTGCATGTTCTCCCCGTGTCTGCGTGGGTTCCCTCCGGGTACTCCGGCTTCCTCCCACCGTCCAAAGACATGCAGCTTGTGGGGATAGGTTAATTGGATAACCCAAATTGTCACTAGGTGTGAATGTGCAAATGAATGTGAGTGCGAATGGTTGTTTGTCCCTGTGTGTTAGCCTTGCGAC